ATTTTAATAAATAGAATTGAATTTGTATCGAACTATATATAATATTGCTATTTTAAGTAATTTTTCGTTTAAATACAAAGTGATTTTGTTGATTGAAATCAACATTTATATGAGACAAAGAAATTTATTTACATTCAACACGAACAAGTTCGTATATCAAAAAAATATTGCATCACAGTATCTATATGTGTTTTCACTAAACTCTCAACTCTGTTAGTTTAAATCAATAGTAGTTTGTTTATAATAGTAATAAATTATTTTGTATTATTATAGAAATATTTAGTCGTGAGTATTGAACAAAATATTTCAGTTAGGGTAGGGGAAGGTCACCGATACCGACATACTACTTTGTTTTTAGACAATATTTCATAAACAAAAGGTAAAAATACAACTTCAAAAACATAAATATAAACTAAAAAATGTCTTCTATCAGATAGTATAAGCAGTTTTTATAATACTGTTGCAATTTTGCAATAATTAAGTTTTTCATAAATTATGCAAAAATGAGCATCTGACAAAATGGGCTCCAAAACTGACATAATAGACAATAATGCCCCAACATTCCTATTCTATAAATAAAGATATATCCTATTCTGTAAAGAAAACTAATTTATGAAACTATAATATAAACATTTAAAATGACGTAATATTATCATAATACAGTCACTATTATTTTAATTACACAATTTGCAAAAGAACACCGTAAGAATTTTCTTCTCGGATTCATAGAATTTGTTTTTAGCTGATTTGATATAGAAATAAGTCACGAATATATGAATTATGAGTTTGTACTTCTTTAATTAGCTAAACAGATCACGTTTTTATTAGTATTAATAAGGTGCAAAAGTTAAGTTTCTAAGAAATAAGGGGGTGTCGCTTTAGGAGACCTATGTCAGTATCGGTGACCTTCCTCTATATGTAAAACATATTTCATAATTTTTAATAAAATTCTTCTCTCAGTGCATAATATAAGTAAAGTAGAAATAAAAACATAGTAATTCGAGAAATATTTGTCTTCGAAGATCGTACATCTCTCTTTCTTATATTTAGTCTATTTAGTTCTATCAAACACGATATATTACCAATGTATATTAGAAAATATGTTACCGTTCCTTGTAATAAGATGTACGATATTTGATTGTGAGGATATCTGGAAGTTACTTTTATCACGATTCTAAAACTTGATTTCGTCGAAGGATCGACATTATGAATTAAAACTAACGCTATCTGGGAGAAAGATCTTGTGGTTGAAAGCCCGAGGCAATGGCGCGCGAGGAGAACGTATCCTGTGGAGTCAGTGTATCAGTGCGCCGAAGTTGGGAGAGGGTGGCTTGTTTACTAGCGACAGTTGATTTGACAAAGCCACGAGTCCATTTATACAAGTGAATATTACAGGGGCGCAGTCGAAGGGTGGCTTGTTATCCGCTCATTGAAGTTAACCACGGGGCTAAGTGCGCGAGAAGGGTAGCGACGGTGACGACGGAGGCAGCGAGGGCTGGAGGATTGGTGGGTGATGCATCACGAGGGTGAGTAGAAACGTGATGGAGAAGAGGGAACAGAGAAGAGAGACGGTTTATGCGAAAGCCTATGAGCCAATAAGAGGCCAGATCGTCACCACCGAGTAACCACGGGGCTTTCCGCTGGATTATTCGACCGAGATTGAAAAGTTAGCGCCAGCTGGTTTGTGATATCCATGAATCGCTATCTTTGTAACTCTTTTCTGTTAGTTTTTTTGGTTAAAATACATATCTGTAAAAAATCGCAGAGTCGCGTTTGTATAAAATAATAAATCTCCGCAAGTAGCGAAGAAACCACTTCGCATTTAGAAGTAAATTATTAGTTACCACACATATTAATTTTTAATTTCATCGTAATCATAATAGTCTAATAACATTATATATAATGCTGTACGCGATTGAAGACCGATTGTTAAGGGGATCCTAAAGCCATCTGTATTACCGATTAAATCATAATTTTTGTATAACAAATACTTTTTTCTCTTTCACAGATTCGAAAATTCTTTTCCAAGATTAAAGTTACACATTAATACGTGTTTGTGAGGTGGAATTTATGTCGAAAACGACAAAAAATTTCGAAATTGAAATCTTGAGAAAAATTTTTTGTCGTTGTCGGCATAAACTCCACTTCACAAATACGTATTAATGTGTATACTTTAATCTTGGAAAAGGATTTTCGAGAGAGAGAGAGAGAGAGAATCTGTGAAAGAGAAAAAAGTATTTGTTATACAAAAATTACGATTTAATCGGTAATACAGATGGCTTTAGGATCCCCTTAATACTGTAGAACAAGTATGTACTCTGTTCGAATAATAAAGCTAATTTATGAAATAATATTATTTAATGAATGATTGTTTATTAATAATTCTTAATGTAATTTTAGATCAAAATTTTCTGCTTTTAATAACAGAAAACTTATTTTTAATTAGTATTGTACTATATACGTTAATTTTTTTAACATCATAGGGTAGCCAGTGAGAAATGACAATGGAATCGATGTCGAATCGACGTCGATTCCATTGTCATTTCTCACTGGATAGGGCGCGGCTATTTCGTCAGTTTCAACTTTAAAATAATACAAAAATTTACGGTAATTATTCGGATTAATTGGCACCGCGCCGATTATCTCGACATTGACATATGTTGTCAAGGTCATGACCATAAGTGATCTTCAAAAAGTTTTAGGCAGCAGTCATTGTTCGTTCAAAAGTTATTAACAAAAAAGTTTAAAAAATGTCTTATTTCTGCTATATCATATTGACGGGTATGCAACTTTCCATACGAACGAAGGAAAGTCCATTTCACTTTCTCCCCTGTCTAGGGGCATACGACTTTCCACGCGAAACGAGTTCCACTCCATCTTCCCCCTTGCCACGGGGCTTACGACTTTCCAAGCGAAACGACTTCAATTCCACCTCCCTCACTACCTCGGGGCGTACGACTTTCCACGCGAAGCGACTTCCACCCCATCTCCAATTCTGCCATGAGGCGTAGACTTTCCATGTGAAGCAAGTTCCACCCCATCTCCCCCCTGCCATAGGGCGTATGACTTTCCGCAAATGTGCGGTAAAAATATATTGCAATCATTGTACATCGGTTTTGTTTCGGAGTGAGTTAGTTCCTCGTGACCGTGAATTTTTAACATTTGATTCACACAATTTAACATTTGACATATATTTAAGATATTCATTCGACACCATCTAGTCTTCTAACTGGCACGAGTTTTTTACTCCTATGGGAGAGTGATTGACAATCTCATAAGGAGCAACACTGGTTAAAAGTTAATGGATTTATACAAGTATATACAGGGTGTCTCACAACTACCGTATTTCCTCTTAAGGATATATTCTTGAGATAATTTTGAGATGAAAATCCTAATACGAAAATGTCGAGACTACAACAATTTTTTGAATTATAAACTAACTTTAAATGCTCATAAGTCAAAAACCATTTTACTTTTATAGCCTCTATTATTATTTCTGGATTCTTTTGAACATTCTAAGACGAAAATCCTAATACGAAAATATCGAAGCTATAATAGTTTTCAAAATACACACTATCTTTAACCAATTATAATTCAAAAACTATTGTAGTTACAATCGACATTATAATGTTATAATATATATATTATAATTTTTATTGTATATAATTGCATATATATATATATATAAAATTGTATCATATTATTGTGTGTATAACCATAAATCGTTTGGAGCTACTGCTGAAGATGGCTAAAAAATTAGCCAAAACATGTATGGTTACTAATTTGATATAATTTGTTTTTATTTATTATAACTTTATTGCGCACATTTTATAGCGCTTATTCCCATTTGCCCCCTTAAGTTTTTTTTTAAATCCATAAAAAAAGTTGTAGTAATTATTAAAATTAGAGGAATTCTTTTTCTATTATTACCTTTTGCAAGGATTATCAACAAAGTTATCCACATACGGAACAAAAGAGAAATATATAGATTATAAACTAATATTAAAATATATATTTCATGAATTAGTACCATAATTGCGTTAACAAACAGTATAATAACCGATTTTGAAATTGATGTTCAAAAAGTATACATGTACAATACTAAAATGTTTTTTGCTTCAATAAATTTTTTAAATTAGAGTTACGCGTTTTATAATATTTTATTCTATACACTAATTAATATTTCTTAAATATTCTGTGAATGTATAATAATATAACAGCGTAATGTACACCTTAATTGTTATCTATGAGTTTATCATACAGGATGGTCTATTTTAATTCATCCACTAGAATATCTCATCCTTAAGTTTAAGACAAAAACGTTTCAAACAAAGGTTGTTCAGTTACAAGAGGGAAGGAAGACGATAAACTTGGTTGACCTTGAGAAAATGTCTTTAAGATCATATCAAGGTTATATAACATTTTTTTTAATGGAATTATAATTTTTTTTATATAATGATTCCTCTAATTATTTTACATATAAAACCGTTAAGGTACAAATACCAAAAAACCAATAATTTACAAGCTACTTTACACTTTATTCTGATGTATATTGTATATTGACTTAAAACGTAAATATCATAAATTATTAATTTTTTAATAATCTTAATATTTTTATGAATAGATTAATGAGATGAATCAATTAGTGTAAAGAAAATACATAATTGCTTCTTTTAAAAAAGTATCAATTTTACCTACATATTTTTTAAAGCAACTATGTATTTTTTTTACATCAATTGATTCGTCTTATTATTCTGTTCATAAAAATATTGAGATACAATTATAAAAAAATTAATGATCTACGAGATATTTAATATTTCATATCAATATCTATCAAAATAAAGTATAAAATATCTCTTTAATTATTAGTTTTTTGGTATCTCTACCTTAATACTTTTATACACAGAATAATTAGAGAAATCATATTATGTAAAAAAAATATAATTCCATTAAAAAAATTTTTAATAACCTTGACCTAACCTTAAAGATATCTTCTCGAAATCAACCAAGGTCACTATCTTCTTTCCTCCTTATAACTGAGCAACTTTTGTCTGAAACATTTTTGTCTTGGTCTTGGACTGGGTTGTTCCATCTTTCGGTAAACTCTCTCTTCAACTGACTCTTACTCTCTTACGTTCGTATTCTTTTACTCTTTTGTTTATCCAGTAGATTGAGTAGGTAAATTATCATATAGTAAGACATAGTTTATCCGAAGATGAAACAACCGATCCCTAAACTTCAGGATTTTGAGATATTCTACTGGATGGAATAAAACCACTCTTATACAGATATACATGCGGGCATGCACGTGCGCGCACATATACACATGTAAATATCTATCTCATTTCTAAGAATTCGAGACTTTGTCACACTTCTAAAATTTCGGGATTGATTTTTCAAGACATTGTCACAGTTCTTAAATTTCGAGTGTGACTTCAGGACATTGTCGTAGTTTTCGGAACATTCTTTTCGGGATTTTGCATATCCTCCTGTAATCACTTTGGGTTATAAGACTGCAGATCCTGTTATAGTCATTTTACTTAAAATAATAATCAAAATTATATCAAAATAATTAATATTAGCGATAATGGCAGTTTAAAGTATTTATATCATATATGTAGATGCTTATATTGTTTCTTGTACGTCGTCTGCAGCCGTATTAATAATATAATCTTCATTTTCTGATAATGTATGATGCCCAAAATAATGTCGATATTTCCGAATTAATTGCGGAATAACAATATTGTTATAACATGCCATACCGATTAAAAGAATTACAAAACCAATGAGCTATAACAAAAATTGAGCAATAATGATTTTGTTATGTATATACAAGTACTACTAATAATTTTTACTTCTCTAAAGCATACCTGCATATAATGAAAAACTTGCCATTGAAACGCTAAAGAAAAGATCCATATCACAATTGTACGAACACTGTCTAAAATCATTCTTGTTGTAGCACTCATTTCCTTAGTAACGCTAATACCAGCGAAATTAAAAAAAGCAATACTAAATGCTATACCTGCAATCCGAAATAAGTTTGTTATAAAGACCGGAGATTAATTGTTATGAAAGAAATTGAAAAAAAAATAGACTGACCGATAACGGCTATCAATAATTTAATATTGCTTCCTATTTGGATAAAAGCTTCTACAGTGGCTTCAAGTGTGCCGCGTGAATTATCCGCAAAAGGAGGTGGCGCGGTAATATAATTAAGAGGGATTATTATGAGAGAAATACCAATAAATCCAAAGATACCTGTAAAAAGTAGGTGTGATAAAATAAAAATTATTAATCAATATTTTTAAGATATATTGTTTAAATATATATCAATATTAACAAAGTTTATATAAAAAATGTAAAAAATATACTGACCCTCCCATCCAATTGCTTGTAACGCAGGAATATCTTGTTGTCCCACATACTTTTCTTCAACAACCATTTGAACAGCTGTTATTACCTAGAATATTTGAAATATGAAAATTATTTTATGAAAGTAAACATATTTATCTTTGCATAATTAGATATTTCACTTAAACAAGTGTGATTAAATCATAAATAAAATTACTAAAATAATAATAATAGGGCTACGAGGGAAGAGTAAGGTTTTGATGTTGAATTATTAAACAACAAACAAAAGTTTATTCTAACATATTTTCGACCCCAATTAGAGTATTCTCAATATTAACAAACTTACAATTTAAAATTCAACCGGTATATAATAATTATTATCACTATGATTAAATTATTAAACAGTAAAATTCAGACGAAAAAAACATCTTAAATTACTCGCTTTCATATTCTTAATGATCAACGGATATTTTAAGAAGAATTAGAAGCTGCCATGAATTAATGCTTAGGATGAAGTTTTAATACAAAAGATAACGTCAAGAAATAAAAGAACTATTAAATTCGACAACTCTGACCTATGCATTAATTCATGGCAGCTTCTGATTGTTTCAACAATCTAATCACAGCAATGACAAATATTATATACGGGTTGAATTTTAAATTATAAGTTTGTTAACATTTAGAATTAGACCTGATTGTGGTCAAAATGTATATATGTTAGAATAAATCTTTGTTTATTGCTTAATAATTCAGCATCAAGACCTTACTTAGATCATAGCCCTATTTTTATTATTTCAATTTTCAAGATTATATATTTGAGTCTTTTACCTTATTCAATTTATAATTACTAAGTTTTATACATATAAGCAATACAAAATATCAATAATAAAGATGTACCTGGGCAAGTATAATAAGCAAATCCCCAGTGATTACAGAATTTGCACTGACATCATTGTTTTCCATTACTAATATATCACTAACACCAACAAATGATAAACCTATTATAACAAAACTGATGCCTATCCATTCTCTTACTCCCAATTTTCTATTAAGAAATCCAATAGAAAGCATTCCAGTGAAAACAATTACTGATCCACGCAACATTTGGAAGCTACTTGCATAAGTCATATTCAAGCCAATGTACATTATGGATGTTGCAAACATATCACATAATGCAGGTACTATTAAAATAAAAGGATTAAAAATCCTTGAACCTTTGGTGAGTACGTTATTATCTACAGAGCCATCCTGAGAATAAATTAACATAATAATAAATTTATTTATTTTGCAGAGAACAAAAATCATAAATACTTACATCTCGCTGATTATAATAGTAGTAAAAAACTTTAAACGCTAAAAAACAAAGAGCTTCTCCAAAAAACATAAATGATGATTGCATAAAAGGATGATTGAAATATCTAAGTTGTCCATCTTCACCAAGTACAACTTGTTGATCGGCATATCTAAATAAATTTTAATTTAAAATTAATTATAATATCTATAAAACTAATTATGCATTATTTTCTTCTACATTATAATTTTATTCTTTACTGTGTGTATATACAGTTTAAAAATATAATACTTACTTAACTGATAAAGTATTAAATGAACCTGTAATTACTTGAAGTACTGCTAAAGTACATTGAAAATTTGACCACGTCATTGTTTATAAGAAACAATGACCATACACCACTTATTATATGAATATTTTCTGTTTATATGTATATGACAATGACACATACATTAAGATATCACTTCGGCACTCTTAGTAAATAAAACAAAAGGTAGTTTCTTTGTAACTTAACTTTCAGTACTTTTCTTTTTTTTTCTACATCTAATTATAGATGTTTTTGTAACAGAATCTATTGTATATGTACACTCTTCTACTTAAAATGAAATAAATATACATTTGAAGTTTGGCAACAACGAGGAAGTTTTAACAGCGAGATAAGATGGAAATCTAAGGCCGGAATCAAACTACGCATTGAATATTGAGATTGAAAGATTGAAATTTGACCAATCAAAACAATAGGAGCTAAAATTTCTTTGTCCTCACTGGTCAAATTTTAATCTTCAATCTCAATCTTCAATGCATAGTCTGATTCTAGCCTAAGAGCGGACATGCCAGGACATGCCAATCTTTGTCATTTTCTTCTTCTTATTGGTTAGTGGCTACCTCCCATGTGTGTTGAGCGGGACAATACGGCCAGGGGATCAATTCTGTATTTTGAAACAAGATGAAAATTACAAAAGTGAGCAAATTTACTAGAATTACTGATAATTTCATTGGTCAACATCTAGTAAATTTGCTCACTTTTGTTATTTTCACCTTGTTTGAAGATTGTTTGAAGACAGGGAGCTTATTACGGTTTTTGTGACGAAGTTAAAATTACAAAAATGATCAAATTCACTAGATGTTAACCAATGAAATTATAAATATTCTAATAAATTCAATCTTGTAATTTTCACTTCGTTACAAGGAACCGTAATAAGTTCCCAGAATCGACTCCCTGATCACGTCATTGAGGCTGCGTTCCACTTAACGCTCACAACGCTCGTGGAATCATTTCATCCTTGTCATTTATCAAATGTTAAATAAGGATAAACGATGCTCGCGAGCGTTGCGAGCGTTAAGTGGAACGCAGCCTGAATTGTACGTAAGTGTTGATTGGCCTCTCTGATAAATCTAGGACTCTAGTCCTAAGTAGAGTCCTAGATTTATCAGAGAGGGGCAACCGGTGTTACGCATTCTGATTCGCTGTTGCAATCACATGACTTGGCAACCATTTATAGTACTAGTGACATTTCTATTTCATTTTATCCTATACATTCTATCTCACTCTATCTCATTCTTGCTCTTGAACAGTATCCATGCTGACTAAATTGTGATTACTGATAT